AAGTATGAATGTATAATGTAGAATTGAACAAAATGGTAGTAGTAAAACCTATAAAATTGTTCTTGATAAAATATACTTATTTGAAAAATTACCATGGCTATAAATACTACTACAGGACATACATTATTCATTAATATTTCTGTAAATAGTATTACAAACATTATTCTGTTTGTACAATTTTTAGTAGATTAATTGAATAACATTTATAGTAATAATAAGTAAATAGTGTAATCAAACAAAGTATACATGTTTTTTTTATAAAAGTACTTCATTTTTCATTTTCAATATTTAGTATTGTAAATATAATCTTGTATTTTTTAAAAATAAATGTCAATATGTTCAACACTAAATAGTTATACTTATAGAAGATGTATATTCACAAATGCAGATATGTGTACGTTAACATCTGCTTTAATGTTTTTACATAAAGAAGTATGTATAATAAAATTATAAGGGTAAAAATATGTAGCTAAAATAATTTTATAATTCATATTATAAATGATAAAAATATTGTTGTATTTGTATATTAAAAAGAGTCACAATCATAAAAATAGGAAAAATATATACAATTTGTAATTCAATAGTATATTACTTTATATGAATACTTTTATTTTCACTTTTATTTTTTTAATATGCATTAGAGTTTTTTTTATTGCTTGTAAATTTAAAATCGTATAGTAATGGTACAAAGTAATACTTTTTTTTATGTTTTTCTATAAATAGAAGCAATTTTGCATATTGTGAATACTATAGACTGGAATACTTTGTAAATATGTTTACATAATATGTCATCTTGTAATGTTAACCTATGATTTAATTGTAAGTAACAGGAATTTGTTTAACATTATCACACAAAAGGTATTCAATCTTAATTCATGTTTCAATTATAAGTAACAGTTCCTGTATTTTGATACCTTTTAAAAAAATAGTAAAAAATAGTATGGTTAATATGTATGTACATGAGAAAGTAATGTGGAAGTAACTTTTATCAAAAGAATCTTCAAATGTTGAATAAGCGTACTGTGAATACTTGATTATTATCAATTTCGCATACCTGCACACAATTTTATTAATAGGGTGTATTTTGCTATCTAAGCAAAAGTATTTTGCATACTTCGGTAAATATCATAAGTTCTGAAAGTATTTTGTACTATAGCGCATGCGTTACTAAAATCTGAGATGCAAACCACAATATCTATGTAGGTCGATAGTTATACGTGTTTTTTCACAAAATTCATAGTTGGAAGGTTTTTAGTTTTATATATATTTTCAATATAAACAATTCAAAAGCATAATATGTTCAATTTAAACTTTAATTTCATTCAAACACGTCGAGTATTTTAACGGTTACGAATAAAAGTGGCAACATTGCTCGTCGCTTGTTTAGGTTGCGGTGTTGCAGATATTCGATGAACGGGTATCACAGTGTATCTTCGTTTCTGGCATTTATCATAAATACAACGTATTTTTGTAAGACAAAGAGCATGTGCATCACTGATTGAAGACTATCTGCATTATACATAACGTAAGTTCATTACTTACACACACACTTACATGTCACAATTCAGGAGTGGGTCACTCTGATTTTTTGTTCTAAATTGTTATATGATCCGAATCATGATATATATTTATTTAAAATTATGAAAAAATTAAATTTTAACGAATTTCACTGTGAACATTTTGAAAAGAAAGTTGGTCATTGGACATTTTACTGATTTTGCTGAACTAAGGATTCTCTTGTTGTTAAGTGAATGTATTTCGTTTCCGTGTATTAATAAATATGAAAATAATAAAAGTATATCCTTGTATCAGTTACATTACATTTGAGTATTTGGGCCCTAAGTCCCAAACATAAAGATCGAGCCCATTGTAGATGTCATACTATATGTATATGCATAGCTGCCATTTTATAGAGCATAGATACGCCATTTTGTTGTTCCGTCATACAAAATGAAAGCTGACAAACTGATATTTTTATATTTAAATATATGGTACTCAAATTGTGAAATGAAATAATTATTTTAAGCATACAAGAGGAGAGAAACTAAATGTTTGAAAAATATATTTGCTCATTCTACTATAAAATATTTGAAATTGATACTGGATCAAAATAAAAAAAATTAAGGATATTTAGATGCAATTTTCTAATATGAAATGATAAGATATCGTTTGTCAATTTTTATATTTTATATTCCATTTCTTAGACACTGATGGATTTATGCTATCTATACATATGAGTTAAATTTATCAATGCAATTGAATTCTTAAAAAGTTTAAAATGTAAAAAAGTCAAATATTTTTTTTATAAATTAATGAAATACCGCTTTTTTATTACAAAACTAAACAAAACTAAAGACTTAAAAAAGTGCGTTTATAAAATAACAGTGAAAGAATGTTTTTGGTTTTGCAAAGTTTCTATATACATTTATACATCCAATTTTTATAATGTACTTTTATACTGTATAATATTAACAAAAGTATATTATTATTGTGTAATTATGAGTTATACTACAAATTTATACAGTAGAGTTGTACTATATTGCAAAAATTATCTTTTATACAATAATACTATTTGTACATTTTAATTAATATATTTTTCATAAATTTCTAACAAAATTTTATTATTTTAAATAACAATATATACAACATGCAGATTATAAGAATGAAAATATTGGATCTACAAAGATCCATAAAATCGATCGCTGTAACGAGTTGTGAAAGTACTACACTTCTCCCACTCGATGAATCCAACATTGTATTACCAGTGTGACGCATGTTGACCTCGTCTGTGAGTAGAGAACGGAAAGGGGTGGGGTTATTTATCAAACGTTCAATACAAAAGCATTTGTAAATTGTAAAATATCTACAAATATTATTAGGTACAATTGATCCAAAAATTAAAATATAATACCAACAAAATATTTTAATGCTAATATTTTTTCATTATGTAAAAAATATGTTCGTATGAAAGTATTTGAAAACAAATATTTCAAAAATTTGTATTAATACATGAAATTTGATTATACCTTCCTTAATTTTTATAATTCAAATATATAATATGATTATGTTAATGAGAATATTTGGATAACTATTTTTAAAACGATCACATGAATGTTATATTACTAGCGTAAAACATTAAGTAGCGTTAAGTAGCGCAAAGGCAAGGAAAAAGTGGGGGTATCATAAGGATAAAGTTTTTGAATATTATTGGCTTCTTTAGTTTGAAATTCAAGAACATGCATTTTTACAAAATTTTATATGTTGTGTATATATTCTTAACATGAAAATTTTATTTGTTACATTTGATTTCTATTATTTATCAAGAATTAGTTTTGCTGGTAACGAACTGACGCCATATTGGCTGACTTCGTGTGTAATCGTCGAATTTCGTTAGGACACATGTCGGGACCTATGTTCAGCAGTATTCGTTCAATAGAGAAGCTTGTCCAGAAGCCCGCCTTTCTGAATATAGATGTTTTGTAGTTGAAATCATAATTACATAAAAATTTTCCGGTGTGAATATTAATCGTAATTACTCGTGTTGTGTACTTCTGTTAGATTTTATATGGAAACGATATTTCTGGCCAAACTGAATCTTTTAAAGTTTTGTAATGTTAGTGACACAAAAATACGAATTGTTAGTTTACTACATTAAATATGTTTTCAATATCACTAATACGAAGTTAAGACTTATTTTTAATTGTTTTGAAATATCAACACATTTTATAGATAACATAATATACCTGTCATTTGAAATGCAATAACGAGTGTTAGGAACATACATAGTTCCAATCCGCCATTTTTGTTAGTTGAGTACTTATGGGCCAGGGACGACACACGTTGGCGCGTCATCAAGGGGCCCATATTGTATTATCCTTAAATTTTTTTACAAAAATCTAAACTTTTCATGATATAAATCAGTTCTAAGTCGTGGTTAATATTATCTCTTAATTCCATATACGCGGTTTACGCTTAATGAGATGATAATATCGAATAAAAAAAGCTAATCGATAATAAATATGAGTTTATAACTTTTATGACTTTAAAAATTTTATTTTGTTTTGATAATTTGTTGTGATAACGAAATTTAAAATGAAATCTTTTTAATGTCGTTCAAACTGTGTTTTGTTATTTAATTAAAGAGGATAAAGTAGACTTCGTAAATATTTTGTTTAAAATGGTATGAATAATTGGTAATAGTTGCCATTGTAAACTTAATTATAACTTAATTATTATATTGGTGGTGTTATTAAAACTATCATTTTTGATTTTATGAGGTTTATTCAATTTTCCAAAAACTGTTGTAGTTTACTAATTATAGGATTCTATTATCAACTTGCTGTAGTTTTTAATGTTAATGTTTTTTGTAAAATTGAGTCAATAAAGGTATAATAAAAATAAATATGAATAGTAATAGACATTGAATTATACAAAATGTCATTTATTACAAGTAAAGAAATTTTGCAATGTTTTATTTATGTTTGTTTAATTTTGTATAAGATTAAATAAAGCCTACAATATATACTAGTAATAAATTGAATTATTACTTTTTATTAATTCATAAATTATAATATATAAATATAATATATATATATAATATATAAAACATAATATATAAATAACACATGAAAAGTGCAGCATATATATATATAAAGATACTTTTCATTAATGTACTTAATGTATGTATATAATGAAATGTATTAATGGATGTAAACTTAATATTTCATATTTTAAAGTAGTTATTTAAAGCAGAGTAATCATTTACAGGTCACAAAATATTAAATGAGTAACCTGTGACATTGTTTTGCATGGCCTGTTTTGTATCATGGAAGCTTTGAGAAGTGATACAGTACGTGCTTCTGACTCTATGCATTCTTTGTCTTGCATTAATACACATCATATTGATGAACTATCAAAAGAAAAAGAGGAGGAGCTATTATATGGTGCAGGTGATGATGGTGATGAAGAAGATGCACTTTCAGATGATAGTATGCGTTTGAGACTTTCTGATGATGATGAGATTGAAGCTGAAGATGTTTTAACACCTGCTTTAGATGATCAAGAAAATAAATCAAAAAGTATAAAAATTGGTAATCATTGTACATGAATCACTGAACAAAATATAATTACAAAAATTTATACAATATTACTTCTGTTTTATTTGGATTACAGAAATGACTTCAGGAAAAGATGACAATATGCAAACTACTATTCCAGAAAAAAATATAATGGAGAATGACACAGCTGCAGAGAAAATAAAACAAGAGGAACATTGTAAAGGTAATGTTATCAAAGATGAAGAGATAGTAACTGATCATGGAAAAGTTGCACAAAGAAGTGAAAATGGGCTGATAAGGCCACAAATATCTAATATGCCTCGCCCATGGAAAAATTGTGACCCTCAATGGAGATTTGCTAGGAACCCTTGTGGTCGCTCCTTTCATAATGCCAACCATCCTTCTTATAACAGATATCGTTATTTAACACCTAGAGGACATTATAGACTTCAGTCGTATGACTATAATACTAGATATCGTAATGCGTTTTTTCCTGTTGAACGAGGAAGAGGTAATGGAATGTTTAATACATATAACAGATCATATGGTAATAGACAACAAAATAAAGGTTTTAAATCTACTATTATGCCAAAATTAAATAGTTCAACCGAACTTGATCAAAATCTTTCATCTATTTCGAATACAAACATATCTCCAAACACTGAAGTTAAAAACGATATTAAAAATACAAAGGTTGATGATAAAAAGACAATAGAAAAAAATAACACATTAAGTAGCGAGATATTGGTTGATAGTGACAAAAATAATGAACAATCAAATAAATTATTGAATGAAAAGGTAGAAAACATTACTACTGAAAATATTCATAAAGAAAATATTGTTGATGCGAATTCCGTTAATGATTCATTAGAATTACAACATAATTTCAAAGAAAATTCGGAAATAATATGTAATGATACTAAATGTAAAAGTATTACAACTAGTGAAATTAATATCTTGAATGATAATTCAAGTGAAAAACTTGTAAATTCTGCAATAAATTGTCTTGATAATGATAAGGAAACAGACAAAATAAGTGAAAATAGTATAAATAATGCAGATGTTGAGCCTAGTGATTTTTATATTGGTGACAATTCCAAAGAAGTGGAAGCATTGAATATAGATGTAAAATGTAAATCTGATAAAGATGAAACTATAGAGTATACTGAAAAAAATGATATAAGTAATCAAAAAAAGGATGAAGTAGGTAAAACGACTGACATAGATATAAATGAAAATAAAGATGATAAAAAACTTATGAAATTAGAAAAAGAAGAACTTAATACAAATCAACAATCAACAGAAAGGAATCATGAAACAGAATTATTAGAAAGTAATTGTAATACAATTACTTTGAATACTTCAAAAGAGCAGAAGATAGTAAATAATGAATTAACAGTAAATGGGAAAGTAACAGATCATAAAGTAGAAGAAATTGCTAAGAATAAAGAAGAGGAAGTTTCTTTACAAGCCACAAAGTTAAATAAAGATCATGAAGATAGTGCTCTAAATGCAATTACTATTACATCGAGTGATTTAACTATTACAAAAGATGATGATGAAATTATAATCATACAAAATAATACACCAGCAATTAACAGTGAAAAATGCGAGAATAACCAATTGAAAAGTAGCGATAATAGTACAAATTCTACTAAAATTAGTAAATTAATTCCCCCTGAGGATCAATTAACTCATCCTAAAATTAATCTTCAGGAGCAAAATAATGTTTTTACTGAAAAAAGTATAAAACCTACAGAAAAAGAAAACTCAATGATAAGTCCTACAAATAAAACAGCAAAAATAACTGTAAATTTTAAATTGGCATTGAATAAGAATAATTCATCTGACATAAATCCACAAAATGGTTCATTAGATATTGTTATTGATGCAAAAACTAATAGTGAGGATAATGATAAAAAAACTAGTGATATTCCCGTATCTACTCAAAGGAGGAGGAGACGAACAAAAAAAATGATTATTGCAGCACAAGAAGTTGTTTCTGAAGAAGAAAAGCAAGGTAGGACATATATGTACTTCCATGTACTTCATGTGTACACATTGAAGTAAATATGAATCGATTATAAAATCAGTTCTTATAAACATTACAGAAACAGAATTAACTTCTTAAAGTAATTTACTTTTAGTTTTATAAGTATTTAATTAAGGAAAATAAATAGGTATTATGAATTATAAATTTGGTATTCCTTCAATAAACACTATATATTTATTTTATATTAGATTAACTACTGTTCTCTCATAAAACGTATATTAAAAAGAATTTGTAAAATTATTAAACTATTGAGCAATCATTTTTTTTGTTCACACTCCTTCAGTTTCAAAACAATGTTATTAGTATTCTCACTATCTATGACATTATAATCAAAGTAAAAAAATAATCGTTTAAGAGTCGTAACTCTTCGAGAAGAATCGTAACTTATTAGCATTTATTGTAATTACATGTAACATAGAACAATTATGTATGAATAATGAAATTATACTTTTTATTTATAAATTATTTGTTGACACTAAAATATTAAGCAACATTTTGTTACAGTTAGGGAAAGTGGAAGACAGAAAAGACAAACAGCTAAGAATGCAGAAGAAATAATAAGGAAGAAATATCTTAATCATGATAGTGATCTAGAGTCAAGTGATGATTCAGAAAAGTTTGTGGTTGTAAATCATAAGATGAATCAAGATATATGTCCTTTATCCCCACCTTCATTAAAACGCAATTACTCTGACAATGATAGTACTGTTATGAATGGTATTACTAAGAAAGCTAAAATAAATTCTGAAGCAGTGCCGAATGAATTAACAACAAAAGAAAGTAGTTCTGAAAACCTTAAAAAACTTAGCTATGTTCATAAATTTTTCCAAAGAGATTTTAAAGAAAAGCTACCAAAGTTAAAGCAGGAAGTATGTTAAAAGTTTAAATAATAAATAAACTATATTAGTAATCGAAATTTTATATTTTTAAATGGTAATTATTTCTTTAAGGAATTAGAGGAACTACTGATACAAAAAATTGTTGAAACGATTACTATGCGCGCTGAAATCGGTAAATTGAGGGAGCAAGCACGTATATCAGAAAGAAATCAAGAAGTAACACGTGCAAAATGCCAACAATTAGCTAAACAAATTAAAGATTTTGAAATGGTATTAAGTCGCAATGCAGCTGATCGTCGTGCAAATAATGATAAACCTACTCCACCAATTAAAATCAATAGATCTGTTGGATTACAAGTCAATTTTATAACGGTATACATTAAATAGGTCGCTAATATTATAAACTTTATTACTACGTTTATTATACTGCGTTATTTTCTTTATGTAGGATAATGGAATGCAGAATTTACGACAACTACAACAGACTTCTAGTATAAAATCTTTACATGTTTCAAGTAGTAGTAATACTTTAAATACTTCCAATAATGAAACGAATAATGCATCGAGTCCAAGGAAAGGAATTAAAATAAGATCTCCCAGACGAATCGAACCTATGGGTGGACAAAGTCCTGTAGTAGTATCACAAAATCACACTCAATCTCCGAATATTACATCTACTATTACTCCCGCAGCTTTAGTTGTTGCTAAACCTGTAGATACACAGCATACTTTAACATTATCTAATCAACCTAATGTTCAACAAATTATGTCAAATGTAAGTATTTTTATTAGAATATACATGTTATAATTATTGGTTTAATGGGAACACATATTGATTGTTATAGCAACAGACACAGTCGCCACAATCACAACAAACTATAGTTTTAAATGGAAAATTTCCAAATCAAATAAATCGGCAAGGATCTACTACAATAACTGTTGCAAAATCGCGTGCAAATGATCTTATTGATCTTACAGATGAAGAAGAAAAAAGCAAAGGTATTAAATTTCGTGGAATTTTCTTTTTTTGTGTGTTGAATAAAATAAATAAAAATACATATTAAAAGAACTTTGATGATTGATAGCTACCGTTGTACCAGTTGTTACGACCACAATAACTGAACAAGTAAATTTAGCGCCAAAAACGCAACCTTGCTTTCAAAGGGTAATTCAAACCATTCCCGGGAATGTAGCTATAACAAGTCAACCTCCTAGTATAAGAGTAGTACAACCTGCCAGCCAACCTACACCTACTGCTTTAGTTGTGAGTAGAAAATAATCATACATTCTTCATTAACATGATGTACATTTTATATACAATCTTTTAGAACAATATGAATGCACCTCGATTAGCGTATGTGATGCAAAGTAGTGTCGGACCAACAAGGCAATTATTAATAGCACCAAATTCTAATCCGGTAAGACGAATATCATATTGTTATATTGTTAAAATTAAATAAAAAATAAGATTGTACGGATATTTTGTAATTATAGATGCGGCCAGTGACTTCATGTAGAGCTTCATTTCCAACTGTAACATACAAAACAGGTAAGAAGTTTCAGTTAGATAAGGTAAATAATATATATTGATGTAATATAAGCTTTTTTACAGGAATATCAACAATTGCAAATGGTACGGTTCGAGTTTTAACAACACCAGCTACTTCAAATGTACAGTTAAATAAGGTACTATATATTTTTAATTAATATCTTTACTTGAATAATTGGAATTGTTTTCTTATACTTATGTTGGTTTCAGCATCCTGCACCTTTGCCAGATATACGCAGTTATACTCTGAATCCTATTATCAAACTTCCACCACCAGCTCCATCATTGAAGATATCTAAAGTAGCACATGGTATGTTGCAAAATATAAATGTATATATGCATATGGAAATATTTACTAGGAAAAAGATAAAAAGTTTACTATTATGTCTAGGCATAGTACTGTCTTGGAATATGAATTTGTCTGACAAGTATGCAGATATTGCTAGTTACCAGTTGTATGCATACCAAGAAGTTGCTGGTGTTCCTCCTAATACATCACTGTGGAAAAAAGTAGGCGATGTTCGAGCTTTACCACTGCCTATGGCGTGCACGCTTACACAAGTAATTTCAATACTTAATGTTTAAAAACTGTTGTAAATTCTATAAATACTATTAACATTGATATTTTTTTCAGTTTTCCGAAGGCAATAATTATTACTTCGCAGTTCGAGCAGTTGACACACATTCCCGAAAAGGACAGTATAGTATACCTGGCAACATCTCTTTGTAAAAAATATGATAAATTTTAAGTTAGGATCTTATCTTTACTTTTAACGCACAGTTATAGCAAGTCATGACTCATATAACAACAAATTCCGTGCAGTCTTCTAAATTATGATTTAATTTATTACATTCATTGCGTGTAAGATACATTTAATGATGTTGCGAAAATGTTTATGTTTATAATCATCAAGTATGTATAGGCTACACATACAAACGAATTTGTTGTATAGTAGTAAATATTCATTTAATTGTAAGTAGTTACTCATATAATTCTTCATAATTATGATAACATTGTAGCTAACGTATTTTTTCTGTTCTTTTTATACGCCTCTTAATTTATAAAATCAAAAAATACAAATCTTAATTTTGACAATATGTACTTTACGTCCTGTCTGTGCTCACAAAATTGTAATACAAAGATTTTATACAATTTCGTGCCATGGTTCATAAAGTATAATCATTTGATAGTATACCATAACTAATTATCACACATTTTAAATTGCTTAAAATTTTATATGACACATAATGTCTAGATAAAAACAAATAAGACAAAATATTCTAGTCAAAAGAATTTTTGTAACAATTATTTCGATATTCACCTTTCATAAAGACTGCTACAGTTAAAGACAAATATATTGTTTATATAAGTCTAATATTGATATTCATTGAAGGTATTCAGATATATTGCTTCCCTATGTTAAATATAAAATGACGCCTGTTTTAACCTTCCATAAAATTTAGTTTATCTTCATCATTACTTATTGTAGTTGAATCTTGCTAATATATGATTTGCTCAATTTTGATACAATTGTAATAAATTTTAAATGTCAAATGGTAAAATACTCCATAGTTTTCGTAATATAAACCAAGCTAAGTATCACTTCACATTAATATGTAAATATTAATGCCAATATATTTTGATTCCTAATATCTGTATTGAAAATGTAATAATCTATAGTATAATTATCTAATATCATATTTTTAAGTTTCCATCATTTTTGCGTCATACAAATGTATAATAAAATGATTGCTCATTTTTTATACGAGTTTATAATAAAAACAATTCCCAATTGTTATAAAATTTTATTTGAATAAAAAGCAATGTCAAATTTTTTAACATTTATTTTGATTCATTTTTCGTTGAAGAGGGCACAATTCTTATATATTAAACATTCTTTTAATGAAAATTCGGGAAATATGTTGCTATTATACGTACTAGTAATGTAATTTTAAATTAAATTTCCCGCGGTTTTATGTACAGTTTTCTTAAAGTAATAGATATGTTAAATTTTGTTATTGCGTAGCACACAATATTTATGTAAAATTTCTAACTTAGTTCGCTTCCGTTGATTGCGTAGTAATGAATGTAGTAACTACAATGTATAAAGCAAATATAAAACATGAATTGGTGAAAAACTTTAACTTATTTTTACATCCCCTTAACCACAAATGATGTTTAAATTTTTTTACAACTTATACGAAAATTCTATAGTTTAAATCCTTGTAAAAATATTACTATTTAATGTTTGTTTTGTATCGGAAAAATCTTAGAGTTACTTACTGTTATTATTAACAAGAAGTCAGTATCAAAAATTTACTAGCATTTGAAATTCTGCATTACTAGAATTTCTAATTTCATATCTCATAGTATCTTATCACTGCTTTCAATATTATATGTTAAGTTAGTCATGGAAATGCAATATTATGTCACAGTACAAATAATTATATTTTTTTTGTGAATATTATAATACGAATGTAGTGATAATTTTTTCCGATCTTGTAAGAAAAAAGTATAAGCAAGTGAGGGCGGAAGTAGTTAATCGGTAATTTGTGTATACTGTTTGCTGTACTTTGTGACACAGTCGTGAAAAGTCCGTGAAACTAAAAAAAACTATAAAATCGAATAATATCCTAATGTAACGAGCATACGTTTGCAAAGTTTGATGTTCGAAATATCAATAGATGTGTATTTTTTCGAATAATGAATATATGTGAAATATTACGTAGTAATTTTCTTACTTTCGCGACATATCTTGTACTGACAAGCACAACATAAATAACGTTTGAAGGCAGTAATATTTTTCAGTCGTTCTGTTAGCAATGTATAATGTATTTTAAAGAATTTCTTTCTGTATTGTTGTTTGATTATCAGCTTACGCCTTTAATTAACTGTTTTGGATCTCGAACTTTGCAACTTTCTAATAGAAATCAATATGAAACAAAGCTTAAGGACTCTAAGCAAGGAAATGAAATATGAAAAGTATTGTGAAATTATGCTGGTTTATGTGGATTAAAATATGCAGTGCCAAATTTCCTGGGTGTGACATTTTTAAGTTTTATGATTTATATATATCTTCCTTTACATGGCAAGTGCTGTTGCAAACTGTCCAGAAGAAGTCAGTAAGCACAGCTCTTGTCTACAACGGGTAGTAAAATCCTCATTGATAATTAGGGGATGCCCAGCCTACATTCGCTCGTCATACGACGAGCTCCACTAATGGATATGGGTACTGCCACCAGTTCAGTGACTTCTGTTAATCCTTCTAATAAAGTTGCTACTAATCAGAAAAAAGTTGACAAGTCTAATAAACTTACTGGAGTGAGATTACCTTTATTACGCAAAGAAGCAAGCGTTGTAAACCTTTCTTTGACAGAAAGAACTGCATTAGGAAAAGGAGTGGATGCTCCTTTACTTAGACCTGAAAGTAGCGCAAGCTTAGAAGCTCGTGGCAATAGCTGGTTGAGTCTAGGCCCTGGAGTATTACGGAAATGTGAAACTGCTGTGGGTTTAAGTACTTCTGCTTTAGAAGGGCGACCTATAAATCGTAGTCGAGTTTGTTCTCGTTGTTCCAGTTTGTTATCACTGGCATCTAGTTCACGTTACAGTTTAGCTGCAGGCAATTTTGTTCCTGCAGGTTCTCAACAAGCACTTGGACGCATTCTTTGTAAATTATGCCTTGTTGATACTTCTCTTTCCAAAACATTTAAGATAGAAGGCTGTGGTTGTTCCTATTGTAAAGATGTATGAGCCAACTTTTTTTTATGTGTATTACTGTATGAGAAATTTTTCAGAGTAAATATCTATATATGTATGTATATTTTGTATGTTTTAGTGTATGAAAGCATATGTTGAATATGAAATTGAAAAAGGTGCATATGAAATTAGTTGTCCTGATGCACAATGTGAACATGGAGCAATACTTTCTATAAAGGAAATATCAAGTCTTGCTAGTCCTGAACTTGTGGAAAAACATCATAAATTTCGTTTAAACAGAGGTGTGTAAATTTTGTTTATTATAAGCTCTAATAGTTTACAATAACAATTTTCTTATATGATATACAGATGTATCTATGGATAAAGCACGTGCCTGGTGTCCACGTGCAGGTTGTGAAACAATATGTTCTATAAGTGCTACTGGATCAAGTGAAACTCCTATTGGACCTGTTCATTGTCCTAATTGTTGTACAGATTTTTGTTCTATATGTCGAGAATCTTGGCATAGTGGTCCTTGTTCAGATCTTTCATTAGGTATACCATTTGATGGTGATCATATCAAATGCTGTCCTATGTGTTCTGTACCTATTGAAAAAGATGAAGGATGTGCTCAAATGATGTGTAAAAGATGTAAACATGTTTTTTGCTGGTATTGCTTAGCTTCTTTAGATGTAAGTATATCTATTATTAATAATTATAATGGCAATTTTTGTTTAAGTTTTCAATTTTATAAATGTATTAAACAATGCAGGATGACTTTTTATTGCGACATTACGACAAAGGACCGTGTAAAAATAAATTGGGTCACTCACGCGCCTCAGTTATTTGGCACAGAACACAAGTAATTGGAATTTTTGCTGGATTTGGTTTGCTCTTGCTCGTTGCATCGCCATTTCTTTTATTGGGCGCACCATGTTTCATATGTTGTAAATGTAGTGTAAGTGGTTCATCCAGACTTGAGCAAGAGGAAGGTGATACTGCAACATAGAAAAACGTTAAATGTTTTTCAATATTCCTGTAATTTCTTTCCAGTATGATAAACAGTTAAATTAGAGTATTCAATATGTGGACGTAATTGGCGATTTATATAGATATACATTGAATTTAGAGCATTGCATGTTGTATTGCAAAGAATAATGTGAGAAACATAACATCTACATACCAAATATTCAATTCTATTTTTTTCGATTATTTCTGTAGATGTTACAATTGAAAACTACTTTGATTATTTTGACACATTAGTTATCAATCTATAAGCTTGAAAGATATCCACATAATTGTACATATTTATAATATGTTTGTATTTAAATAAAAAGTTTAGAAGAGATATTGAAAGCTACTTAATGTTCAACTGATATTTAACAATTACAGTTTAGATGTTGATTATTAGTAAGATTTTTTTTACTGTAATCAGGTTTTAATAATAATTTTTTCATTTCAATGCGCCTGTTATACCAAATCATAAATACTCATAATTCTTGTTTATGACATTCCAGAAAGTTACAAAATTGTTTTAATGTTTTTTTTATACCAAATAAGTTTATTTTATAATTTTTTTATATGTACGTGAGTTGCTTCCTGTATGTTTATACAATTATTTTTAGCAATACTCAACATTCTTTTCATGTACTTTTAATATTTTTTTGTTAATATCTAAAATCTTTGTGAATGTATTATAAGTATAAATCAATAAGCAATGTATATCTATATGTACGTCTGCTTTGAATTCAGCAAAACGAAGATATATTTGCAAACTACTATTGCTGGTTGTATTTCATAATATTTTGTTTATCAATGCTTCTTTGCCTACATTGCTGAATAAATTGTATACTACATATACATGATTATCGATGCATATGAATAATTGAGTTCTACGAAATTTGAAAATTTAGAAAATCTGTAAATTCTATTACTAATACATACTTAATATATTTACTATTAATAATATACTTATGAATACAGTCTTTTGGTTTAAAAGAATATTATTCCATAAATGTTCTAAGTAATTCTTTAAATTGTTGATAGAGTATAGACCAAAAATAGTGGAAGCAGCATGTTACAATGCATAAACAATAAAACTAGATCTTTATGAAGCATGAAATAAATCATTCAATTTCTAATAATAATTATATATCACATTTGCTAAGATATTCCTTTCTACCTGAGAAAGATATCTATCCTGTTATGAACTTATATTATACTTGGCATTGTAATATAAAAATATTTTTTTCTTATTTTATATATGTACACATATATACGTGTAACGTGTGTACGCACACGTAATGTTAATATTGTCTAATCATAATACGATTAGTCAATAATAATGAAATAAATGAAAATTGTAATAAATTACATAAGACATGCAAATTTCCAAATAGGCATATCTTTGTAATACTGTATTATTGACTATAACTATGTGTATAAGAACACAGGTGTGTATGCATATATATACTTAGGCGTATATATTCATTTAACTTATCCTTATACTATACATAATGTGTATATATAAATACCTGTATGTGTGTTGGCATAGTTTTGCATGGAAGTCATTTTAAATTGAATATGAATACAAAATAAAAATGTAATAAAGTAACAGTTAAATAGATAACTACAATTAGCAAATCATTTGCAATTAATTAGTTGTACATTATTACATTAAATATAGGACACTGTATGAGCAATTGATGTTAATAAGTCATTTTGTTGTTATGAATTTTCTATGTTAAGATTAAACCTGTATTTGTTCTATATTATTTTTTTTAATATATTTCAAAAATGATAAATTTTATTGTTTCACGATCACAAGCAATTAGTATCTTAACAAATCTATTTTAATCTTCGATGAATAAAAGAATGTAGACTTGAAATAATTAAAGTTTATATAAAATTGTAGTACATACGAATTATGCAGAATGAATACTTTATAATTAGCAGAGTGTTTTACTTGATAGTGATATTTATTATTACAATTCTTTTTATTATAGTTTCGCCATTTTAATTTCAAATACTGAATATATATGCGTAATTGAAAGAATAAAATTTTATTTATATATAATATG